CGAAACGAGATGTCGTCTCCTGATTCATTGGGTGGCTGAGTGTGAGGTGTCGCTGACGCGTGAGGCGAGCTCACCTATGTTGACGCTGGCGGGGAAAGTGGCGACGGCGACGACGGCGGCGGCGGCGGCCAAGCCGAGCAGCACGAGAAGAAGTCGAGTCTTCATGCTTCTGGCGCTCGTCTCGTCGTCCTTCTCGCTCGTCCGCAGCCTCCGGAGCGCCGCATGCAGCTGCTGTCTTTCGCGCGCCCGCCCCCCCCCCTCAAATTAGCAGCATCGGCACACACAAATTTGGACTTCCTCTTCATAGTGATGGCAAACCATAAGCGCGCTCACATTGTGTCAGCTCCTTTGAGTCATCCTCTTCTCCATTCCTAATTGTTCATTTGGATCGGTTCTCGTAGCTTCTTTTGGATTCTTGTCCGAACTTGCCGTCCTGCTCCTGCGTCTCTCTGCCCTTTCCGGTCATGGTCTCGTTCCTCGCTCGCCGTATCTTCACTTTCTGTCCTGCTGGAGCGGCGAGAGATGATGTCAAACCATCCGTTTTGCAAAATCTGTAACCCCCCCAGGGCCAGCGCTGCGCTTTGTTAGTGCTTCAGAGATTCTTACGAAGAACGTGTTTAGTTTTCCCTCGACAAAGAGCCAAGTAGGAGCCACGTCGTGACATCATCGCGATGCGTCCGAATGTCACCCGCTCACGTCGACGTTGACCCAACAGCGCCTGCGCTATTAATAATTATAATCATAGTCATCATATAATAATGCGCATTCCAGCCCGCTCACGTCGACGTTGACCCAACAGCGCCTGCACTATTATTATAATCATAGTAATCATATAATAATGCACATTCCAGCTCCAGCCTTCCTGTGTGGAGTTTGCCTGTTCTCCCCGGGCCTGCGTGGCTTTTCTCCGGGTACTCCGGTTTCCTCCCACATTCCCAAAAATATGCACGGCAGGTTGATGGAACACTCTACATTTCCCTGAGGGTGTGATCATGCACGCAAATGGTTGTTTGTTTGTGCGTGCCCTACGATTGGCTGGCAAGCGGTTCAGGGTGTCCCCCGCCGACTCCCCGAAGACAGGCTCCAGAACGCCCCGCGACCCTCGTGAGGATAAAGCGGTTCGGAAAATGGATGGGATGGATGGATAATAATGCGCTGATAGCATCCGCTAGGCAACTTAGCATAGCACCGCTTATTCTCTACTCAGTAGTGCATAAGTGTCGGGGACGTGCAATCAGCAATTGCTTCGATCTTTCCGAATCGTTGTAGGTGAATCGGGAATCGCGTGCTAACTGGGCACATCCGCCAGCGCTCGACACTTCCGTGTGTGCGGGGAGGCATTCCTCGACATCTGCCATGGTCATGATAACCCCGCCCCCTGACGTCAGTCGGGGCCAGAGTTTGGCCCAACGAATGACGGGGGCCAGCTGAGGCACCGCTTTCAGTTTCGCCGGTGGAAAAAGAAAGAATCGGTGCTAATTTGGGCGCCGGCCCGCAACCGGCGCTAGCGCAAGCGCGGTGGAGAAGCGGGGTCATTTGGGAGGGGCTCAGAGTGGAGCCGCGAGGTGGCAAAATCAGGCAGCTATTCCGTCCGCTTCCACCGGATGCGCGTCGGGATCCGGCCTTCGCTCGCCGCGTCGTCGTTTGTCCGTCCCGGGAGCGCGTCCCGCTTTGGCTGCGGGTCGGCTGACAGCGAGGGGGCGGAGCCAGCGGCCCGCGGAAGCGGAAGGAACATTGCGGGACGGCGGCTCTCCAATTAGCCGGTCCACTTCCCGTCTGCGCTCGCACACGTCGGTCGGCCCTTCTCAGCGCGGCGTGAAGGAGCGTGCGCACGTGCGAGGTGGCGGCACAATACGTCGTTATTTATTCATCCTCAGAAGGCGTGCAGCCGGGACGGGGACGCCGACCCCGAGTTTGCGACCGATGATGCGGAGTCGACAGGAACCGGGGATGGCGGGTGCCTGGAAGCCGGGCGTGCTGCGCGTTGTTTTATTCATGCGGGAGACCATTAACGGCGGCAGACGGCGGTCGGCGAGTCCGTCCCCCCCGCCCCCCCGCTGGTGACGAGTAACAAAGTACAACGACTTGCTTGCTCTCCCTCAGCAGACGACTTAGTTTGCGGGTGACTTTTTTCCTTGACTTGCTCCCGACGTACGAATGGCGCGCCTCTGCCGTACTTGCTCGCGTCTCGGATCGCTCTCCTCCTCTTGCCTGTGCCCGTCACGCGTCTCCCCGATGCCAAAATGTCCTGCCCCAATCTACGCCCCCCGGCCCCTCCGAAGAGGGTGAAATGATGGACGGGCAAGAGTCACGTGACCTCATCGTTGGCCAATGAGCGCCTTTGATTTGATGCCATTCGGTGCTTTTTGGGACCTTGAAGAAATGCATTCGCCATCCCAGAAGAGCATCGGAGATTTGCCGGCCTCGTGCATCTCTCACCTGATGAGAACATCATCAATTCTTCTTTCGCCTCTCTGAAAATAGACGCGCAAGGTTTATTTTGAGACTTCTGGACACGCACTCGGCGCATTTAAACCCGAGCGCGCACACACATTCAAAGATACACGAAAGAAGAGGAAAAAAAAAAAAAAAAAAAAAAACGAGACGCTCACACACCCAAGCGCTTGTTTTGGCACGTTGATGCGCGCGCGCACGGTTGCAGCGCTGCCGTCAAGTGCTCGTTAACGACGCCTTGATGGGCCGTTGAATGTTTTTGCGAGCCTCCGGGAAGACGAAGATCAAGAGGACGAGGCGGAAAATGAGGATGCGAGCAGGAGGAGCGATGAAGACGAAGACGAAAGGGACGACGGAAAGAAGATGAAGCGTGTTCTTGTGCCAGCTGCGGACTGCGGGGCGAGGGGGTGGAAGGGGGGGGGGAGTTGGGGCAACACAGCTGGGGGACGCCAATGCACGGCCCTGGGCGAGGCATTCTGGAGCGTTGCCGGCAAGGAGCGCAGAGATGAGCTCCGTTCGCCGTGTCGCGACTCGTTTGGGGTCAGCGACCATTAGGGGAAATCGTCGGTCGGCATTGATTGGTTGATCACGTTGCAAATCAGCGGAGCAAACGGACATTTCTTTGATCTGTACGGGGCCCCCGATGCGCACACCGTGAAGACTCCATGCTTGCACGCACACACTCGACTACACGACGCACCTCAATGTTTTCCTTTCATGTTTTCCCTCCTCAGCACTTTCTGAAGCGCCATTCAAACATCAAGATGACATCATCGGGTCAGGCAATGTGTGTGTGCGTGTGTGTGTGTGTGTGTGTGTGCGAGCGCGTGTGTGAGTGTGCGTGCGCGTTTCGCATCTCGTTGTTAAATTGGAGCAGCTTTGCGCTGAGGCGTGATGTTTGTGCTGACTTCAGCGTGTGCGTTCGGCACAAACAAATTGCACAGCTCTTACTCCCCCCCCCACTTCCCTCCACGCAACGCTGTCCACTTGGTACGGAGAAAATGAGCCATGAACCTTTTTGCTCATTAGCTGGCTAGCCGAGTGCGCGTGCGATGGCTGTGACAGGAAGTGCTGCTGCAGGCGACAGGAAGCGGCTGACAAATGTCTGCTGAATACCCACAAACGCACGAGCCAACTATACTTGGCATCATAATCATAATAATGCCAGCTCTTCGCCCTTCATCATCATCATCATCATCACAGGACCACGACGACTCAATCCCGCTCGCCGACGGGCCGCCGCTCAGGTCGCGACACCTTCAGAACAAGCGCCGCCAACGAGCGGTCCGTCCAAAAAGTTGCAGGCTCAACTCTCCGGACCCCCGTCCCCTGGGCTCCCGACGTTCCCGAGATCATCTCATCTGTCCAGGTGAATGGCTGAATGGCTTTCTGAGGCGCACCGCAGGGAACTGTTCTGGCACCCTTCCCGTTTCCATGCCTCATCTCGGACTTGATTGAGCCGCACCGACCCGAGAGCTCCATTCGAGGTCGGATGCCGTTTCAGAGGGGACGACGCCCAACCAGGGGTCCGTCCAATGAGCTCACGTCAACTCGAAGGTCCTCTTCATGAACAAAGTTGGCTCACGATGACCCCGCTGGACTCCACGTACGACAAAAAGATGCTGACACTCATGGAGGCCCTCCTCCTCTTCCTCATCGTCATCCCGGCTTCCTTTCCCCACGTTGCCTCCCTGAGGCCACTCGCGTTAGCGCCGTCTCAATTCCTGTTGACGGAAGTTCCTTCTGTTCAACGTCTTCATCCTCCTCCTCCTCATCCTCATCCCTATCCCGGCTTCATTTTGACCATTTTTTCCCTCCCCCGGGGCCACTCGCGCGATGACGCTCTCACTTTCCGTTTGAGGAGGTTTCTCGTCTCTTCATGGTCTTCATCTTGCTCGTCGTCTTTGTCGCCGCCTGCAGCGCCGCAGCTGCGCATGAGCTGACCTCTGACCTGCAGTGGCTGATCCTCGCCACGCGCAAACATATCGTCGACATCTGTGCCTGCGCGCGCACGCGTGCGCGAGACACACGATGGTCCCGGTGGGCCGCGGAGGTGACACGAGAGCAGCTGCTGCGTGTGGACTCCAGAGATTGATCGATTCCCGCGAGTTTGCGCGAGAGAGAGAGGACAAGGGCAAGCGTGCTTCTCAATGTACGAGCGCAACGTTGTCAACACACTCGCAGTTACTCGCTTATCGTCGATGATTGATTGTTCGTTGTTTTGTTGATTTGATTCTTTCTTCAATGACGAGTAGCGGTGATTCCCTCTTCATTTGCATGTCAGCCCTCCCCCGCGAGATGAACGGCGCAGGGCTGCCCCCTGGGGTCATCATTGCGTGAGCGCAACAGTCCGGTTCGCCCTCTCAAGCGCGCGTTTTTCACGTCGCCCCCCTCCAACGCGGCTGATTCAAACGATAAGCATCCTGATCAACTGATTCGGCTCTGTCGGAGGTCGGGGAAACCCGCGGGACCTTGTGGACCGGAGTTTGACCCCTCAGCGTCTTCCAACAGGCACAGGTGAGGAAACGATGACACACAGGTTTTTATCGCGGCAATGAAAGTATGTTTATTACTTTGCAGGGTCAGGCGAGATCACAAAAGTGATGGCGTGACATCATCGTTGTCATCCTCGCCCGAGCAACAAGCCGGCAGGTCAGAGGTGACGCGTCAGTAGGTCACACAGACAACAACAGCACAGAAGGGTGGAGCACGCCGACAACAGCGACCTCAAGGCGCCGCATCCGCCGCCGCCCACGCCGCCGCGGCCCGCACCCTCGTTCTGGTCGACGACATACACTGAAACACAATGAGCGCATTACAGCGAGCGAGCGAACTCACGGCGTACACTTTACATCCATGCGCGCGCACACAGAAATGTCACGGATGAGCGGTGGGAGCGGACCCAAAATGCAAGGAGGCAGCGGCGGTCCTTTGAACCGAAAAAAAGCTCATGACCTGCTGACCGAGGGGTGCGACGCAGGAGGAGAAGCCCTCCGACGCCACCTGTTGGTCGCAAACGGAACATAACCGTGACAGTGCAACCTACCCGTGTGTTTGGGCGGCCCCCCGTAGGCCTTGGGGGCATCCCAGCCTTGGGGGGGGTCGTAAAAGGCCGTGTGGTAGCCGAGCGGGGTCCCGTACTGCTGCGGGCCCTGGTAATAGGAGGACGGCGCCGCCTGCGACGGACAGACGGATGGACGGTTATGTCGTGAGGCGTGGCGGGCGGCGCAAACGCCTCGCGCTGCGCGCTCCTACCTGGTAAGGCGCGGCGACCGCAAAACCTACACGGACGGACAGACAGACATGCAGACAGAGGTTCACAAAAATGATTTGTACGAAGCTGCACTTCCTTCTCTCTGTCTACGTAGCCCCGAGGAACTTTGGACCAATCAGTACACACCTTGGGCCGCTGGAGGCGGGGCATACGGAGGAGGGTGGTCACCACTCATCTGGAAGGACAACAACGATGTCACGGGTGACGTCGGGGCCACGGCGCGCGCCGATGATGGAACGCCGGCCGGCGGACAATGCCGCGCTGTCAGGCTCGCATAGCGGCGCTAATCCAATTGAGGTACGTTACCGTGGCAACCGTCCCTCCCCGCACTGTCGATTGTTTGGCGGACGCCGCTCGAAAAAGACGTCCATGTACGAAAATGACGGGATTGTATCGTGTGCGGAAGGCATACGTCGCGTATGGAGAAATTATTCTGCGAAGGAAGCAAAAGTTTGACGAAGCGCGGCACGACTTTGAAGGCCCAAATGTTACGCCTTCTCAAATGAAACGTGTCGTCCAGTAGTTGACCCTAAAATGTCAACATGGAGCTTTGGATCATGAATGTTAGCGCAAGAAGCAGAAGTAGAAGCAAGTTACCTTCACGCTCAGCCGCACGTCCAACGTCAACGCTCTCTCGGGCTCGGCTCACGTGGCCTTGGGGGAGGTCACGGCTTCCTTGGCTCCCTCCTCCTCCTTCTTCTTCCTTCCCTCCTCCCATCACCCTCCCCCCCTTCTTTTTCTTGCTCCAACAACACTTTGGTGTATGCGTGTATTTGTATATTGCCTGTTACAATCTGGACTTTGTCACGTCCAATCCAAGTAGTGTCGCATTCAAGTCATGTACGGTGAATAGTTTTTGTCCACGACGGGACCGGTCACGAGTCCATTTCAGGTCAGGCCCTCTTTGATGCCGTCACCTTTTGCTCACTTTTTTTTTTTCCAAACTCTGTCTGTTATTTTTGACAAGTGATTGAGCCATCGAAGGTGATGAAAAGGCCTCGCGCTCTTTGATGATGCGTCGTCAACGCTTCAACCGACGGCGGCGCGACCTTTGCGAAGGCTTTTGTCACATCACTTCCTCCAAAAATCAAGTTTGGGCGCATCCAGTCAGAGCAACATGAACTTTATTTTGTCAGCGAGCATCCACGACACGGATCGCGTGACCGCACGTAGGCGGCCAGCCGGGAGTCCGAGCCCAGCTCGCCCGATGGGATCGTCCTCCATTTTGTGGTTACGAGGCGGCGGCCTGTTTGTTGCGGAAGGTGTCGAAGAAGGCCATCATGCCCCTGCGAACGCCACGGCCTCCGTTTGTCTTCCGGGGCGACACCCCGCCGCCGCCGCCGCCGCCGTCCATGGAGTTAGCGCGTTTTACCTTGGGCGCGGCGCCGTGCCCGAGCCGGCTCCTGGGCGGCGGCGTCTGAGCCACCAAACACTTCTGATACCGCACCTGAAAGATCAGCGGTGGGAAGGAACCGAGTAGAAACACTTCTCGACGAAAAATTCCACTCGACCGCTCTTCCGAACGGTGCAATGCAAAGCTGGACTCGGCTCGGCTCACCATGCACGCCGCCTGGACGGCCTCGGACAAGAGGCCGGCGTCCGGCTCGCACCAGAAGACGTGACATTCGAAACGCTGCCGGCCGCCGTCCACGATGACGGCGAAGGTGCGGCTGTCGTGGCCGACGCCCAGGAAGCTGAGGAAACGCACCTGACACGCCCACACTGGCTCCTCCCCTTCTTCCTGCTGCTGCTGCAGGTGCAAGTTACGAAAGAAAACAAGGCTCCTCGCACACAAAACGGGAAGTTCAAACAAATGGAAGTCGCCCCGCACAGGAAGTTGGATCAAAATACCACGGCTGTACAGACCGTAAGGTGTGTCAAAACTTTTTGGGGGAGGGGGGGGGAGGGGGGAGTTGAGCGTACCTTGAAGACAGACAGCAAGTTGTCAGTCACCTGGATGACAGTCGCCTCCCACTCGTGGCGGCGGGTGGAGTTCATGATGCTCTCGATGGCCAAGTTTAACACCTCCATGCCTGCGACGTCCAAACGCACGCACGCACGCACGCATGCGGTTCAGAGGACAAGGGCGCGAACCGGACTGTCATGTGACTGTTCGGGTCGGGTACCCATGGCGCGGGACACGGGCAGGTTGCCCACGTAGTGGACGTCAAACTTGTGGATGCGCTGAGGCCCCGCCTCCGCGAAGTCCACTGAAAGATACAAGTTAGGAGGAAGGAGGAGTCAGCGGGTCGGCTGCCAATCAGAGCAAAGCGGGCCGGGCGGCCCGTCACCTTGTCGGGGCAGGTCCTCGGGCGAGATGCTGTCCGTCGAGAGAGAGCGCGACGTCTGGTGGGACATCATCTGAGGACGCCGTCAGTGGAACATCATCATCATCATCATCATCATCATCTTGCGGCACTTGAGCCGTGCTTGGATTCATTTACACATTGCGACGCCTTCATCGCTATGCGGCGTTGCAGGATTTTCATCCAGTGGACGATAAAATTCTCACCGGTCAAATGGAAAATATTCAGGTGCCGTGCCCTGACAACGTCATCTGATGTCAGACCCGCCGTGCGTGAGGCGTCATCATGTGTGATATGGGTCAACTTGTATGACATCATCACCGTGAGGGACAAAACAACGCGTGACATCATGATCACATGTGACATCACCATCTCGTCTGACATGTCGGTGCGTGAAATCATCTTCATGAGTGACGTTGTGTGACATCATCGACATGCCCGGTCGGCGACATCATCGGCACGCCGCGCGCAACGCGGGGCGGGGCGTCTCGGGTGCGACTGACCTGCGAGCACATGCGATGCAGCGCGGTCGCGATGGCCTTGGCGGGGGCGTCGCAGCGGAACACGTGACACTTGAGCGCGCAGCTGTCCTTGTCGGCCGCCACAAAGGCAAAGTCCCTGTGGGCGAGCACACGCGTGCCGGCCGGCGGACGATCTTTGTTTTTCTCCCGCGCTACCGACACGACCGCGCGCGCGGGGTGTGCCGTGTTTGTGTGCGTGTGCGCGTTACCTGTCCCTGCCAGGTGGTGGGTGAGGCGGCATTCAAAGAGACACACGGTGATCAGTGACTTGTTCGCTTAACACGGTGATCTCAGCCTAGCTTAGCTTAGCATGAAAAGCCAAAAGCAGGTGCTTTGTTCCGTGGCAAAAAAAAAAAAAAAGGGAGGACGGGTGAGACAGTGCAAGGTAGCTCGCTCCCGAGTGGCTCACCTGCCGTTGTTGCTGCCCACCCCCCACACGCGGATGTTGACGATTGGCTGACTGTACAAGGCGCTGTGGTCTAACGGGTCCACGAGAGTCAACGTGTCCCGCTTCAGCAGCAGCCTCATCTCGCGGCCCTGCGGGCAGGCAGACGGCCATCCGTCAGGAAGATCACACACACACACACACACACAAACACACACACCCACACACACACACCAACCCCCCCCCAC